GAAAATATTTGATTTACAAATAAGGAATCCTACTTCACGGAATTTCATTTATCACGGTAGGGTCTAGAACCGATTAACCGCGATAAACGAGGGTTCACTGTATATCATTGTAGTTGACGATAAGAGTGAACCATATTTAGATTTTCTAAGCCCACTGAATATAACAGACATTTATCTCTAATTTATACTGTTTGACTTTGGGGGAGATCTCACACAACTCCTAGGGTTTTCCTAGGATTTCTCTGCATGGTCCTTCTTGACCCTTTGTTAAATGCCAGGGGATTGTGAGTGGTAGTGTTCCCCTCCTCTGTTATATAAAACTAGGTAGTTACTAGAGACTATGTGTAAGGCTTGATGCTAGATTCTAGAAGGCTACAAAATTAGTCACTCCTTGCTGTGTTTGAGATTTTAACGCACGTGCCCTTTTACACCATCTGTTAGCAGTCATAAGAAATACACTGCAGACCAACTTAGTTTTATAAGATCAAGTTTTACTAACTCAGGTATTTGGATTTAAACATAGTGGTGATTGTTCCAACTTTAATAAATAGTAGCCATTTCAATATTTGCAGTATTTCTTGGCAGGATACCAAAGATACAGCTGAGAACAAAAACGCTTGAAAACAACTAAATTCACTGCCATCAATTCTGACTCATAGTAGCCCTATAGGACAGAGTAGTACTGGCCTGTGGGTTTCTGAGCCTGTAAATCTTTATGGGAGCAGAAATCCTCATCATTCTTTTGTGGAGCAACTAGTGGATTTGAACTGCCAACTTTATGGTTAGCAGCCCAATGTTACAATAGCTCTTAGGCTGAGTGAAATAACTCAATCACAAAAGGACAAATGTTGTATGACTTAATTAAATAAAAAGACAAAATAAGGCAACTGCATAAAGACCAAAGTTTATTAACAGTTACCAGAGCCAAGAGAGAGAGAGAAGGGAGGTTAATGATGAGCAGGGGAAAATCACATTATGGGTAGGGTTGCGCACCCAATTATTGTAACTGATATCTGTAAGTTTTACACCTGTTAAAAACTGAATTGGTAAAAGTTGTGTGATAGATACATTTACAACAACATTATGAATAAATAATAATGCTAAGACTGATGGTGTTCAAACACCTCCCAGGATTTAGTTCCTAGGTTTGGTCATTTAGCCGTCATCGATTCTTGGGGTACTCTATCTAGTTCATTGACATAATAGCATTTTTTAGTGCTTCTGTTGTGCCCCCTAGCTCCTTGAATAGTGCCTGAGATTGTAAAAGCTTTGAAGTGGGGTCATTTAATCAGCACAATTGATCAATGTTTGCCTGGACAACAGAGAAAAAGGAGAGTGAAGAGAAAGAAATGGAATGTGTAGCTGCCTCTCTGAACAGCTGCCTCCTTTGCCATGAGACCAGAATGGGATGATTCCCTGAACATTTTGATCAAAGATTCTACAGCAGAATCCTGATCAAAATATGGGGAAGTGCAGAAAATAATTAAATTCTTAGTTACTGTCACCTTTCTGGAGCCATGGAGGGTAGATGAAGCCCAAAACTTTCCCTGAGATAATAAAAAATTTAGACCAAAAATATCCCTGGAAATCTTAAAACTAAATATTTGTGTAGCTCAACTAGTAAAGGATGCCTGCCTTGAACATTAAGCTCTGTTAAGGGTCTCATGGGGACCAGTAAACAGATCTGGACCTGTGTAGGGCTTTTTTTTTCCTTTTTCTTTTCTCTCATCTTTTCATCTTTCCTTTTCTTTCTTCAACCGTATGTTTTCTTATTGTTTGGACTAGGACATGGATGGGTTGCCTAATTATATGGGTTGGGCCATGGGAGGGAAGCCCGGGGAGAAGGCAGTGGGGCCAATGGCCCCGGAAGGTAGAAGGTAAGAAAGAGGTGGGGAGAAGGATAGGGTTAGCTGATGGCGTCATGGACAGGGGAACAACTAGAGAAGTGGAGCCAGCATCTAGGAGAGGGTGGAGATCCTGTGTGCATTAGAGCAACACCAAGCTAGTGGAGAGGAAGCACTAAGAGGTGGAAGAAGGGAAAAAGCGATGGTGGGGCAGGAGGAGGCAAAAGGAAACAGAGGCAAGCTCTAGGAAACAAAGGCATAAATAGGGAGATTAACAGAGGTGTGCACTTATGCAAATACATTAATCCATAACAATAGTGTATTGGCCTATGTACGTATATTTATAAGGCAATACACTGAAGGTGCAGATCGGCCTTGGGCCTCAGCTCATATCTTCCCTCAGTATAAGAATACTTTGTTCTAACAAATTGGCATTCTGTGATGCTCACCACCACCCCCACCACCACCACCCCCACACGATCACTGAAGACAAAATGGGTGCATAGCAGATGTGGTGAAGACAGAGGACAGTGCCCAGCTATTAAAAGATATAGTGTCTGGGGACTTAAAGGCTTAAAGTTAAACAAGCAGCCATCCAACAGTGAAGCAACAAGCCCACATGGAAGAAGCACACCAGCCAGTGTGATTGTGAGGTGTCGTCGAGACTGGGCAACGGGCACCAGAAGATTCACAACAAACAGTAAACAAACAAACAAAAATGGACCATTGGTGAGAATGGAAGGTGGTTGGACCAGAGACCCAAAGCCCATCTATGTACAATGGAACATCCCCCCACAGAGGGGTCGCAGGGAGGGAATGAGTCAATCAGAGTGCAGTAGAGCACTAATGGGTCACGCAATCTACCTCTGTTCCCTGGAGACCTCCTCACCCCGCTATCACGACCTCAGTGCCGCCCCCCAATCTAGACTAGATGGGAGCATGTACATAGGTGTAGGCAAGAGATAAAACTCACAACACATGGAACCCAGGAACAGGAATGGGACTAGAGATACAAAAAGGGTAGGGGAAGGTGGGAAGAGGTGGGGAGGGAGGGAGGCACTGATCGCAATGAATGGCACATAACCACACACCCCCAGCCAGAGGGAAGAAGAACAGAAGCCAGCGGGGAAGGGAGACAGTGGTCGGTGTGAGATTTGAAAATAATTAACAATATTCAATCTATTGGGGCCACGAGGGGTGGGGGAAGGAGGGAGGGAAAAAAAGAGGAGCTGATCCCAAGGGCGGAGTGGAAAGTAAATGTCTAGGAAAGAGTGGAGGAATATATATACGAATATGTCAGATACAATTGATGTATGGTTTGTAACAAGAGTTGAAAGAGCTCCCAATAAAATGATTTAAAAAAAAGAATTATTTATGAAATCAAAATGACAACAGCACTATAAAGATTAGATCAGATCCTTAGAGGGTAATTAAGTTATTTATTTGGAGGGGACAACTCAAAAAGGAATGTAAGAATGGTTGCAGAAAGGGTACTCATAGAGTTGTAAATACAGGCATATAAAGATGTAAATATCTTTATATATGATGAAGGGGAAATAGATCTATGTACATATATTTATAGGTTGAGTATTAAGAAAACAGATGGACAGTGGGCCCCTACACAAGTACTCCCCCAACACAAGAACACTTTGTTCTAACAATTTGGCAGTCCGAGATGCTCACCTGCCTGGCATGATCGCTGAAGACAATGGGTGCACAAGAAAATGTGGTGAAGAAAG